GTAAAATAATAAACTCTCTGATACTCGGTGTTCAAAGAATCTATACTAATAAAAGGGTAATATGCTAATTAGACCAGATGCCATTCTGGATGTCCTTCCTGATGAAGTCAGGGCTGAAGGGAAGCGAGCCTGTGTCCCAGGTGCCTGAGGGCAGCTGGAGGAGGAAAGCCAGTGCTGGCAGCCAGGGGAAAGAGGGCCTACTCCTCCATGAATTTCATGCATAGGGCCTCTAGTACACCAATAATCAGTGATTATGTCATGTTATTATGAACTTGTATTTTGAACTTTCAATCCATTATTCAAAGCTATAATAGAAACCATTTAAAATGTATACCTATATTTCACAAAACTGCAAGATGCCATATATATTATAAATACAGACATTATGTAATATACAGGGTGGGGCAAAAGTAGGTTTGCAATTGTTCATAAGGGAAATAATAAAATAATTAATAGATAATATCGATAAGAATAAATTATTTTCCACATACTTTTTTTAAAATTATAATTCCCATGGTGCTGAACCCATGTGCTTCTTTTTCAAGTAGATTACAATTTAGTAAACTGTGGAATGCTATGGGTCAAATTAGTGATTACAGTAATAATAAACATATAAAATTTTAGCTCAGTTTTAAATCACTTGAATATGAAAATATAACAAAGGCTTAATGGAAGAATAACTTGAGCCAGACCTTAATTTTCCTCTAATCTGAAGCTTGTATTTTTTATTCGCTGTTCTACTTTAAACTGGGTATCATGCTTTGCTTAAAGATAAAGTAAAAAAAAAATTAACCCCAAAGAAATCCAAACTCTGAGTGCTGCAATTTAAAGTTTTCTATGATTTATTTATAATACAACTTTTGGACTATGTTCCTATGTTCTTATGCATCACCAAAATAATATTACTTGCAATTTGCCAAACAACCTAATAATTAAGCTTTGAATAGCTTTGTTTCTTGTAATTTCTTCAATGTGAAGTCCTACTTTAAATCTAGTACCAGGTACTCCCCATTCCCTGACATCTCATCTTGTCTTCTTGTTTGAAGTCAGTCTCTCCTTCCCCCATGTTTCAATCAGGCTCTGCTCACTTATCTGTCCAACTGCCTGCCATATCATGGCTTATTTCAGAGCCTTATATGCAGTTGTCTTTCTCCCACACCTTGGTATAACCACTTTGAACTCATGGACTATATTGTGGTTTTCATTAAAAACAACAAAAAACAAATAATAATAAATTAAAAAATGAAACAAACAAACAAACAAAAAAAACCCCTACCAGGGTTGAATGAATGAATTTGAGAATGAGCAAATCAATCCATATTTACTAAATGAATCCATGTTGAAAGAAGAATTCAATGGATGCCAGGTATTTAGATTACATATAAGATCTCTTCTTCCAACTATTTCAGTCTTAGGGAAAAAGTGGAATCCTCCTACAACCAGAAGTATTGCCACCTATTGTGAGTTTTACTATACATGTTTGTGAGGAATCAGTGTGATAGAGAGGCCTGTGTTCTGCAGATATAACTCTGCCTCCCACTTGCAAAGTTAGCTCTTTCCTATTGATCCCTTGACATTTCCAGTTCGCTTTTGTCCTGCGCAGTGGCGTTATCTCCTGGTTTATAGTGCTCTTCCATCCCATGGTGAGAACATGCATTCCAAACCTTCATCTACCCAGAGGTTATGAACTACATTGCTATCTTTTCACTCCATGATTTATCTTTTAATTAGAGTGTACTAGTAAGTAGTAAATAATAAACTTTGCAAGGTTAATTTCATTAATAGTGGTAATAGACAGTTATCTGCTTGGTGTAATTAATTCCTTCATTTACACACCTAGCACATGCCAAGCACTGTGCTCTACGCTGGAGAGAAAAAGATGGATATGGCAGGGTCACCATTATGTAGGAAGGTGAACTGGAACGTAAATAAATTATTTTAATAAATATATAAATCCTCAAATGAAGAGAAGAGTGACTTTGTGGATAAGGTTGTCAGGAGCTCTGCCTGCCAGGGATTGGATGAGTCCAACTTCTTCCTCACAGACATCTCACAATGACTGGGTAGCTTAGTATTTTAGTTACATATCCATATTTAATAGAATGAATGTGTTTATTTGAAGAAATTCCTGGATAACATAGTTTCCCCTCCTGTACTCTAATCCTGCTCAGGGGAGTGGAATGACTGTGAATAAACACCTAATTCTTCACTGGATGGAGATGAGCACTCAACAGGAATCATGTGACATTCAAAAAGGATAGCAAGTATCAGGGTCCATTAGAGGAAGCAAAGGCAGACTTCATTTTGTTTGACTCTCTGTGTTTGTGTACATGGATTAGACAAGACATCTTTGCCTCTCACTCTCGGGAAAGTGGCCTTATGTAGAAGCAGTTTCTGTGTAAGCTGCGTGTACCATGTATGTGTCTTGGAACCTGTGGCAGGAAGGCCAGCGCACCTGGATAGAGCCCTTCCTACCCTGTGGAATTCCCACAGTCTCCAGAGTGTTCCATTGGCCCCCGAGAATATAGTCTTTCTCTTTTTTGTTGTGGTCCTGGACAGACCTTTGTGTACCTCTGTGCCATGTCGTTTGGGGAAGCCCCTTGATGCTGACCAAGGGCTTAAGGGGCTTGAGGTACTGGCCTTTTGGTTGGAGTGGTTTCTCCCAGAGATCAGATGCATGTGGTAACACCCTATTGCTATGCTTGCACCCTCTTGCTCAAAGGCAAAAGACAACAGGTACTGTAGCTGGGAAAGTGCCACAGTGGTCTAGCAGGTGGGCAGAGGCCCAGGATTGAGCTTCCATTTGCCTTAAAGAAGTAGAGGAGAACATAAATAATGGAGCTCACTGGCTTCTCCCAGGGAGAGTTCTCACAGCTCCTGGGGTTCCTCAGCTTCCCAGCCCTCTCCCTTCAGTCTCTTCTCTTGTTTGTTCTTCAGAAGCTGTTCATTCAACCCTCAATGGTCTCTAAGGAGTTATTGTCCTTCATATGTGTACATTTGAGCATGCTCATGGGAGGGGTAGAGTTCAGCATGCTCCTAAATGCCAATCATTTGATCATTTTCCAGAGAGCAAATCAATCTGCCATGTAAAGATCTTGGCTACTTAAAGATTTCACTTCAGTAAACATTTATACTCTGGAAGATCTCTCTCTCTCTCCCTCCCTCCCTCTCTCTCTCTCTCTTTCTCTCCCTCTCTCTCTCACACACACACAAACACAAACACACACACAAACATACACACACACACACACACACACACACACACACTCAGACTTTTGGGTGCATTGCTCAAGGCACTTACCAATAAAAACATGAAAACATGTTCTCTTCTGGTGAGTGCTTACAGTAGACTGGGAGCACTAGTAACTAAAAACTAATGATAAAATAATCATACACTTACATGCTTCCTTCAGTTTGCAAAAATACTTTTAAGTACTGTGTATGCATTAAACTTTATGAGTTAATAAAGTATGTCTTTAATAAACCATTTTAATTAAACTTTATGAGTTAATAAAGTCGGTCTTTAATAAACCATAGATGAAGAAACTGAGACACAGAGAGGTGAAATAATTTACCCACGGTCACACAGCCAGTAAAAGGCTGAGACAGGTTTGAAAGCGAGCAATCAGGGACCAAAGCCCGGGCTGTTGGCTATGACAGATTATATGATACCTCCATAACTATCAGAAATATAGTGAGCACCTTCTCTGAATGACCAAGTATTCTACATTGGTCATACACTGTAGTTATAAAGGAGCTGATTAAATATAGTTGTTTTTTTTAGAGGATCTTAAAACCTAGATAGAAAGAAGAGCCTTTGTACACCAACCATTGGACTGCATCTAATCATGATCCAATTTCACCACAGGGGGAAAAAAAAAATAGACGGTGCATATATAGAGCATTATCAACATCTTGTTAGAAGGACAGGGTCTGACTATGACAAGCAGGGATTATTGAAAGCACTCTAAGACATTTATAGTTTAGAAGTTTTCCACAGAAAAGCAAACACCATAAGCTTTAATGAATTCAAATAAGGGGTAAGAGTTTAGACATTTGAAAAATGATCATGTATGATCTTTAATGCTACCTTAATTTCCAGCAAGTCATATTGAAGTATCTCTTTCATGCTTGACAGGATCCTTGGGTTTTAGGTTGGTACTAATAACTGAGTATAAACAAGGATGACCCATGTCTAAACAGGACAATGACCTAATTTCTAAAACCTCCTTATGTTCCAACTGCAGCTCTCATGGTGAGCGGACAATATTCCGCTTAGCCTACTATTTTCCAACCGCCAAAGACTAGTCCTTGAAAATCCCTGAGTTATTGTTTGTTTTTGCCCTAAATTGGTAGCCACTCTCTTCCCAAAAGAAGAACTGTGGAAGAGGATCTTGATAAAAAGCAGGTAGATAAGCAACAGCCATCTTTCTTAATTAACCGACTGATCAGAAGAAAACAGTGTCTCTGACGCTGTAACTGCAGAAATCATCAGCCTGCGAGACAGAATCTTTCCGTTAAGTCTCCCATTCACTCCATTCTCACCACCCAGCCTGGGTGCGAGCCAAGCATGTGTGCCTCTAACAGCTGGGACTGCACAGGGGGCAGAAGGAGAAAGGACAGAGACAAAGAGTGAGAATGGGAAGCGGAGGGAAGGGGAAAGACAAACAGTGAAACAGACAGAGCGAGCCACAGCGAGAGACAGACAGGCAGAAAGATGCACAGAGAACAGGAGCAATAGCGGGAGAGTGAAAGAGTGAAGGACCGCGAAGGAAGAGGGGAGGGGGGGAGGTAAAAGCCAGATTTTTATTGGAAGCAATTGAAGTGGTTGCTATGAGACCCGCTCAGAGCACAGGACCAGCAGCCAGCCCCGCGCTGATGGTTCTTACCTCGTCCTAAACCTCTCTTTTGACCCAGTTTTAGAGTTGCTTAATCTCTGAGCAAGCACCTGACACGGGCGACTTTTTCCTTCTTTATTCTCCTCCGGTCCCTTCGGTAAGATGGAGGTAGAAAACGAAGCCAGCTGCTCCCCCAGCAGCGCGACAGCCTCAGGCGGGTCCAGAGAGTACAAGGTGGTAATGCTGGGAGCAGGGGGAGTTGGTAAAAGCGGTAAGTTTTAACACCAAATGCCGGGGAAGGAGGAACCTCTTTAGAGGCAACTCTGCAGAGTAAAATAATAATAATAATAATAATAATAATAATAATAATAATAATAATAACAATGCAGTTGGGGCTAGCGAGCTGCAGCAGTGAGCCTCCAAGTATCTGGCAGGATGTTTAACAGTGTGAGGACTGTTCAGAGATGCTGATGAGTCAGGAGAATTGGGAGGCGGCCACTGATGATATATAGAACTTTAAGAGGGTTATTTTTCCCTTTGATTTCCTGCTGGGTATTTTTTTTTAAATCTTAATATATGTGTCTTTAAAATATATATGTGAATTATTTATATATGTGAATATATATATATATCTGAAATAATCATGGTATAAGAAAATTGGCTCCTGTTTTCCAAAAGATTCATATCAAGTGCTATGACTATTCAATGACCCACACACACATATATATATACAAACACAGACACACATGCAGAATGATCAGTGCTGGTTATTGTGTTTATTTCTTTGATTAGGAGCTTCCTGTCCCCCTTGCCTTATCTTTGACCTGACATAGCATGTGTGGGCTATCAATGGCAAGGGGAAAGGTAGTTTTTGATGTGACAGCTGCCTAAGGAATGGTGTTCACTGTGGGACCCAGGCAGGGTGAGCAACACAAAGGTTGTGATGAACTAAATTAAAAGACACAACTGCAAGGATGAAGAATGTAAGTGGCCATGGAGGGAGAGTGGTAAATTGTTTCTGATGAAAAAATAACAGATGCTGTCAGTGGTTCTTCAGGGACTTAAAAGGCCAACTACAACAAATTGAAGAAATATGTATGGAGTAGTGATTGAGGCTAATTAAATGTTGCTCATCTTGGGGCTATGGATATCAATAAAACATAAGTAGATAATTTTTATATAAATATAAAATATTCCATGGGATGCCAAAAAGCAAAAGAAATGTGAGAGTTAGCATGGGCAAAACATTTTTTAATTCAATAGCATTAAGGCTTGATTCAAAAGTTAAGAGTTTAAACCAACATTATTGGTATAGATACCCCTACCCACCCCCAAAAATGTTGATAAGTAATGGGTCATTGTGTTACAAAAGTTTATCAGTAAATGAGGGAAAAGGAGTGTGTGACTTTAGTGGACAGCAAGTAAAGAGGCTAGAAAAATAGCAAGATACATAAAGTTGATACCCCTCCCCAAAAATAATTACTATAAGAAGAAAAGAAATAGGTAAATCTGGGTATGCGCAGTTGCTGCATGCATGTCAAAGTGAGAAAAAGTTAGTCATCTGTCCTAGAAATAAAAGGTAAAGTGAAAAACTTCACAAATATGTATAAATGAGAAGTTTTTAAAAATGGCCTTTTTAAAAGAATGTAACGGGGAAAGCATTTAAATAGGTAACAATTAGGCCTGGAAGGATGGAGAAAAGATAAAGAGAAAATAATTTATATAAAATAAAACTATGCTTTGAAAAAACCTAGTCAGTCAGACACAATGAGGAAAAAAAGAAAAGAGAGAAAAACAAATCTAAGGAAAAGAGAGGAGATTAATACAAAGAAATGCCACCAGTTCTTGTGAGGTCAGAGAGATGCTATAAGTGTCCCATAATGTGCCATGTATTACCTTTGTTAGCTGGTGTGGTGTTTCCTCTTTTCATCTGAAGGTTAGCCGATGTGGGAACAGAGTAAGTAGGTTTGAGTTCTTATTCCATAAAAATGAAACATGGAGAAAAGAGATAGTGGATGGAAGCATCCTTCAACAATGTACTTATCTCAGAGATGGTATGCTATTTCCTATTTTGATTTTCTCCATGTATTATTTGTACTGACTGGCCATTGTCACCTCTCCAATAAATAGAAATTTTTTGACATACTAAAATGATTAACAGAGTGACCCGGTTTGCTCTCTCTATTTTGTACAAAAGAAGCCAGGTCTTAAGTAAATATGTGAGCAAAACTTTTCCAGTGTGATAGGAGTAGCCAGTTCACTTCAGAGATGGTCAAGAGTAAAAGAGGGTGAATAAGTCTAGTTATACTAACTTTATACAAAGCCTATTTGCTGTGACTTCTAGAGAGGGTATAACTCGTACTACAATTCCAGGCTTTGGAAATGCTGTCCTCAGACTCAGTGTTTGGAATCAGAGGGATGGAATCATGTCTGACCCTTGGGCTCTGTCCCTGTGATTCAGCTGTTTTTTCCACTGTATAAATGGTCAAGCGCTGATTCACTGAATTAACCTTCTTTTGATGGTTAAAATGTTTGCTTTAAAATAAACTACAATTCTACTATTTTAAATTAAAATGCTGAGTTGATGAAGATCTGGATCAATGGGAAGAAGTACAATTTACTTTCCTTCACACGGTTTCAGTAGCTTATATGATCGGATTGTACAACTTGGTTCCAGTGGGTTGTATGAAGGGATTTCAAGGGGAAATATACTGTTTTGTAGAAACTAAAGAAGATATATGAAGCTATCAACTGTTTTCAATTCTGAGTCTATTCTGAGTTGGCCTAGAACCATGGTCGGCAAACTGGGGCTCATGTGGCTCTTTGGCCCCTTGAGTGTGGCTCTTCCACAAAATACCACAGCCTGGGCGAGTCTATTTTGAAGAAGTGGTGTTAGAAGAAGTTTAAGTTTAAAAAATTTGGCTCTCAAAAGAAATTTCAATCATTGTACTGTAGATATTTGACTTTGTTGACTAATGAGATTGCTGACTATTGGCCTAGAACATAAACAAGAAACTCAATTTGGTGGGACCTTAATTTTTAAACACAATCTAGAAATTTTCTAAGCTTACTGAGAAATTAGGGTGTATTTTCTTTTCTATCCATATTTTACTGAGACATACTTTGGTGAATAGATAATTTTGGAAGGATTGCAACTTTGGAGCAGAAATTCCTCCCAAGATTTGAAATGTATTTACTATATGTGAGAAATTTCAATCCACAAAGTAATAAACAAGTTATTTAGTATGTTCTATGCAAGGAGCTTGCACTAGTTATTATATAAGAGAAACAAGAATGATGTGAACATCTATAAAAAATTCCTATGGGCTACCTGGTTTTCTTGCTTATATTCAGGCCACTCCACAAGGTGATTAAGTGTCACCATTTTGCGGATAGAAAAAGTAAGGCCCAAGAAAACAACGTGTGCCTATCATGGAGGTAATAATTTTTAGATTTCGGTGAAGTTTGATCTAACTCATTTACATTGTTTTTAACACCCGGGGCAGACAGAGGAAAGCATTCCACCACTCACTATTGAGAAGATAGGGCTGTTGGGCTCTTTATTTCCTGAACATGAAGGAGAAACTCAATTTTATATTTAAAGAGAGCTAAACAATCTAAACTAACACTCTCAATTTATAAATATATACCTTTTTAATCTTTAAATTAATATAATTAAACATTATACATAGTGCTTATATACAATACTAGGGTCCCGGTGCAGGAAATGTATGCAAGGAGTGGGGGGAGAGGTAATGTCCCTCAGCCCAGCCTGCACTCTCTCCAATATGGGACCCCTCTCACAATCCAGGACTGCTGGCTTCCAACTGTTCACCTGCCTGCCTGCCTTCCTGATTTCCCCTAATTACTTCTGCCTGCCAGCCTGATCACCCCTCACCACTCCCCTGCCAGCCTGTTTGGCTTCAACTTCCCTCCTCTGCCAGCCTGGTCACCCCTAATTTCCCTCTCCTTCATGACTGATTACCTCCAACTGCCCTCCCTTGCAGGCCTGGTGCCTCCCAACTGCCCTCCCTTGCTTGCCTGATCACCCATAACTGACCTCCCTTGAAGGCCTGGTCCCTCCTAACTGCCCTCTCACCACCTTGTGGTGGCCATCTTGTGTCCACATAGTGGCAAGATCTTTGACCACATGCAGGCAGTTATCTTGATCTTATGTGTTAGAGTGATAGTCAATCTGCATATTACTCTTTTATTATATAGGATAGAGGCCTGTGCATGGGTAGGGGCCAGCTGGTTTGCCTTGAAGGGTGTCCCAGATCAGGGTGGGGGTTCCCTTGGGGCATATGGCAGCCTGGGAAAGGGGCCTGTGGTGGTTTGCATGCCAGCCACGTGTCTCCCCCCACCCCTCCAGGGACCCAAGTGGAGGCTCTGGTATCTGGAATTTATTTACCTTCTACAATTGAAACTTTGTAGCCTGGAGTGGAGCCAAGCCTTCTGCTGGATTTGTTTGTTGGATTTGTTTCCCTTCTATATTTGAAATTTTGTACCCTTGAGTGGAGGCTTAGGCTGGCTAGGGCAGGCGGAAAGCTTGGCTTCTTCCATTGCCAGAGAAACCTAAGCCTCCCTCCTGCTCTCTGTGGCTGTAGCCATCTTGGTTGGGATAATTTGCATATCTGCTCTGATTGGCTGGTAGGCGTGGCTTGTAGTATAGTGGAGGTATGGTCAATTTGCATATCACTCTTTTATTAAATAAGATAAATACATATGTATGTTGTATTTATATCTATATAATGGAACTTTACACCCAATATTATCCAAGAATACTATAATTTCTGAGAAAATAGCATAAACAAGAAATAGCCTTGATCTATTTGAGGATGGAGAAACTCAGGTCATAAGAATTTAAGATCTTACCAGAGTCACATCTAGAACTCAACCCTCATGACCTCCTTGAAGGTTTTTTCAACCACATACCAATTTTTACACAGAATAAGCAGTAGTTATCCACTGAATTTCATGTAATTTGGGCATATTCTTAGCCTTCTATCACTTTTTGTTCCACTGCCTACCATCCCTTTTCTTCCCTTAAAAAAAAATTAAATCTCACAACTGTAGTTTAAGTGTTTACTGGAATCTAAACAATCTTTATAGCTGTTTTTTTGTATTTGTGGTTTAATTATAAAAGTTGTTTTTCAGTGATAGAGCATAATTAGTGTCTGCTTGCTTCCTCTGTATTCACATCTGGTTCTTCCAGTGCAGAGTCATATTACTCAGGATATCTACTAAGATATCAGTAAATGCTAGTAAGAT